AAATCTCTTGCAATTGGATTCAATATTTATAAATAATCCTCATCAAGATTATTCTAATTAGATCATTTTTAGAATAAAAAATGTGGAAAAATAAAAAAAATGATTTGGTAGCCATTTGCACAATAATATGTCATGAAAGAAATTATAGTAATATGAAACTGAGGTTTGTTTCATTAATAAATAAAAAATGGTAATTTGTTATTTTGGCTTGTTGATTTCTTTGAATATGATTAGATTTAGTAAACTATTTGTAGTGTAAACATGTGTGTCTGTATAGAATATATATGTAGAATATCACTCACCTTGTATAACTGACTGAAAATTTTTTTCATTACTGCTGTGCATGTGAAAGTATTGCCATGTTGTTACTAACAAACAACACTTATCAAACCATTTTACACGTATTCTGAAGAACTGAAAAAGTGTGTTTTTGTGCTTCCATTGCTACAAGGCTCCCCTTCATCTTTTGGGTGTTATTGACACATGTTGAGCCTATTGGCCTCTTCACACCATGAATCAGTAATCCAAGGTAAAACTAGTCAAAGGGTCACAGCTGCCACATACAGTTATTCAGGAGGCACATAAGTTGATCTGCTGGGTGTAATGACTCTTGATAGACCAAAAATAACATCTGTATCAGTGAAGCTAAGTACAATACAAAAGATAAAGATCTTTAAGATTATATATCAAACAGAGATTACTGCAGGTCTCAGAGTGGTCTGATATGCAAGTACTTACTATTCTTACCTAATAAAAAGGAATACTCTAATATGCTGATAATGTATGGAGTAAAGATAACCAAATATGAAAATCACGTGAAGGTTCACAAAATGAAATATATTAGATTTGAAATTTTTATGTTTTAGTACATAGTGCAACACTGAGAAGAGAGAAAATGTTTGTTTCTTTAAACCCCGAAGATGCAGGATAAGATAATGATGAGAGCAGTGGATCTGAGTGTTTATACATGAGTGAACATACAAACAGCACTCAGTTTTTGTGTACTAATCAAATTGAAATGCTGACATTAAGTAATTGTATAAAATCAATTTCGATGTTTATTTTAATAATCAAAATCTAGTCAAAATTTGATTAATCACTCAGCATTTGTTAACTGAGAAAGCTATCAATGCAATACCTTTTTATGTACCATAACTCTAGAGTGTTGTTTGGAATTGGATTAGGACTTGAAGATAATGGAAACAATGTAGAGTTAAACATTAAATGCTATGTTAAAAGCTTGTATAGCTAAACCTCATGCTAATATGTAATAGTATTCACTGCTATTTTGTTTATTACAAATAACACTGTCATGCTATGTACACTGAGTAGTCACAAGTAAATAGACACCTAATTTTTTGTCATTTAACTGATTTATGCTAACTAATTTGTGTTCACAGAGCACTGTATAAATGAAAATGG